CCCACTTCAGCAGAGGACTGCAGCCCACACCATCGCCGGCAACCCACGGCAGCCCAGCTCCAGGTCGAGCTGTTGTTCAGCATTTTAGCTGTAGAGGGCAGTGTCACTGGCCCTCACGTGTGGGATCTGAACCGGGGCCCTCTGGCATCCCAAGCCAGTTCTTAACCAATGTGCCACTCGGCCGGCCCTCAATTTTATTTATTGATGGAAAAGGGCTTGGGTCAAATACTTTGAAAGTATGCTTAAAGGATTTTGATTTATTAACTGTAGAGAAAATTAACTTTGGAGTAGGCAGAATACAGAAGTTATGCTTGATTAAGGTGTATAAAGACAGGTGTAAATGAATGAAGGTAACTTCATTCTTTACAGAAAGCAGAATGAAAGTAAAGTAACCCAAGACTGCTACAGGAAGTAAAAATTTATTTGAATTCAAGTAATAATGTCTGGGTTTGGAGATAGAGGCCTTTGGTTTGAGCCTTGTTTTCCTCCTTGCTAGCTAGTCAGAGCTTGGACCTAGAGCATGCTAGGTACTGTAAGAGGAAGCCAATTTTGAAAGATTTCAGACACCTCTCAGTTCTTCTTTTTCAGGTAAACTTGGTTTACACAACGTCTGCCTTCTCCAAATTTTACAAGCAGTCGGTCATTGCAGATGTCAGGTAACCTGTGTTCCTTGTTTTGGGGTTTCTACGTTTACTGCTGTAAATTCCTCTCAGAGCCACAGAAGGGCTGAGATATCACCATTCTCAAGTTACTTCTTGGGGGTGGTTGAGAGTTAATGTCTTTTGAGTGCAATAGTGACTGAACTCTTTGCTATGCTGTTGTGCTGGGGTTTTTTCTCTTCATCTATCAAAGCCCACTCTCTCCCCATAGCTGAGATCCTGGACCCCATTTTAAAGTCAGTGGGCAAAATAGCCATAAACATGATGACTATATTCATGGAGGCAAAAATAAAACATAGACCAGCATTTCTCAGACTATGCTCAGTAAAAAACTGGTCACTAGAGATCTTTTGAGACAAAAAGGATCCCACGGTCAAATAATTTTTAGGAAAAAATGTGTGCTGGGTACTGTATACCACCTTCCTTTACCCCCAACATATCTGCAGAGATTCACAAACCACTTTGGCATATTAAAGGCACTGAGAAATCTTGAAATAAAACGATTTGTTTACTTTCCTTCACCTTTTATTTTCCAAGTCATTCACTTTAGGACATTATTGTATTTTTTTTTTTTTCATAAAACGTGACAATGTTTGTGCAGTTAGGAGCTTCTGCTCCAGGAGCTGTGGTCATGGGAAACCAAACCAGGCTCGATTCCTGGATTCCCTACTCACTAGCTGTGTGATTCTGAGTTGTAGTTGGCCTTGATTTTCTCATCTGTAAATCTAGAATAATAATAGGACCTTCCTCATAAGATTAAATGGAGTAAAGCAGATTTAGCACTGTGTATGGACATGGTACAGTATCAAAAATTATAACTTGTTATTTGTAATAGCAGTGAATACTGATTGATATCCATAAAAATAGTATTTTCTCCATGGAGATGCAACTATACACTCACAGTAATAGATTTGAACCCAACACAAGAATACATATACCGTAACACTCTCCCTTCCCAATCCAGGAGTCAATGACTTCCTAAAGAAGGAAGTTACGTTTAATTGAAGGATATGCTCGCTGGCCTTACCTTGAATTTATCAGTTACGTCACTGGTTTCCTATAAAAGCCTACTTCCTAAGGGGTATCCTTGACTATCTTTCTCTTTTCACTATAGCAGTAACAACAAAGGTGGCCTCCTTGTTCACTTTTGGATTGTGTTTGTCATGCCACATGCCAAGGCCCATATCTTCTGTGAGGATTGTGTGGCTGCCATCTTGAAGGACTCCATCCAGACGAGCATCATAAACCGGACTTCTGTGGGAAGCTTGCAGGGTCTGGCTGTGGACATGGACTCTGTGGTACTAAATGGTGATTGTTGGGTAATTCCCCTTTAAGCATTCCTTCCTCCAGCATCCTCCAGCAATGTGGTAGCATAAATGCTGACACTGTCATTGTCATAGCCGCTATTATAGTGAAGTATTCTCTTCCTCAGTCTCAGTGGAACAGGATTAGCTGAAGACATTGGAGCTATGTTGATAAAGGAAGTTGTTAAATGTTACACATGGTGATTGGACGATAGAATCGGGGCCAAAATACGCATGAAATTGAATTTATTAAAGTGTACCCCTTCCTATATTTAATTTGGCTTATTTAAACTAAAGCACCAAGGAAAAAGTCCTGAAGAAGGAAAATTTCGCTGAGGTTTATCTTGTCTCTTCCATCATCCAGACAGAACTGAACCTATGTTATGTGGTGTTGCCCAGTGCTCCAAAACGACCTGCCCGATAGCCCTGTCCAAGTGCAAATTCCATCAATTTGTCTCCACAGTAAAATGGTTTAACTATTGTGTAACCCAAAATTTATGCAACTTTCTCTTTTTATTTAAATTATATTTATGATTTAAATTATGCATGTATATGTGTATATATACATATATACATATATGCTAGGCATATATTTGGTGGCTGATAAGTATTTGTTAAACAAATGAAAATCTGTACCACATACACTATTTCAGATATAGGACTAATTAATATGACTAATTATTATTGTATTTGTTTGGTTTCTTTTTACCTTTAAAAATATTTACAACTTGTTATTATGAGTGATTTCAAGGATACAAAAGGAAAGAGAATAGTATAACGAATTCTCATATACCCTTTACTCAGCTTCACCAACTATCAACTCATGTCTGTCCCATTTGATATCTATTTACCTAAGCAGCCTCCCCTACCCTCACTGGATTATTTTAAAGCAAATCTCAGATATGTTCGATTGCTCTTAAAGGACTAAAAATATTTTTACTAGGCAAAATTTAAACAAAATGAAAATGAAATGCTGGGACTGACAGTCTTTTTTCTGTTTTTTCAATGCAGCTGGGCTTCGGTCAGATTACTCTTCAACCATAGCACCTGGTAAATTATGCCATGTGGTTTCCTCCCCCCTGCCCCCAATTCCTCCAAACCAGTATCCTTTTTGGTTGTAGTTTTCCTTTTCAAATGATGGTATTCGTTAGTGCTCTCTTAGTTGCAAGTGACAGAAATATACTCAAACTGGTTTAAGCACAAAAGAAACTTGATTGACTCATGTAACTGGAACATACTTGGGCTGATCTAGCCTCAGGCTTCGTTGGGTCCAGGTCTTAAGATAAAGTATCCGTAAGACTGCATCTCTGCTTTCCTCTGCTGAGGCTTCAAGTGTGTTCTTCCAATGTGGTAGCATAAATGGCCACTAGCAGATCCAAGCTCATAATTTATCAGTTTAGCAACTATGGTGGAAAAACCTGACGTATTTCCTAATGGTTGCTGCAGGAGTTTGGGGGCTGAGTTTCATTGTCTTGGATTAGCTGATGTGCTGACTCCTGAGCTAGTTTCTTTGATTCTGGCCAATCTGAGTCATGTGCCCACCCTATGCCTAGGAGTGAGTTTAACTCCAATCCAACCATATAGACAGGGTAGGGATAGTTTCTCAAAGTAAGATCTAGGTGCTGTTATCAGGAGAGAGGGAAGTGGGCTCCAGGCTGGCAAAGACAGCAGATGTCCTGCATGTGACTTCTTTTGCTCCTTACTCTTTTATAAAGATTTCTAGAAAAGTAGTTCCTAAAACAAAACAAAAGTGTTGTCTCCACAGAGAAAGGCTGCTCTCAGTACTTGTATGCAGATCATCTGTCTGTCCGCTACCCTCTGGACATTTCTGCCACCTCAGGGAGGCTGATGTGCCACTTCAAGCTGGTGGCCACAGTGGGCTATGTGATTCGTCTGTCAATAGAGTCCATCCAAATTGAAGCCGACAACTGTGTCACCGACTCCCTGACCATTTATGACTCCCTCTTGCCAATCCGGAGCACCATTTTGTACAGGTATAATGCAAGCTTTCTGGTTGGCGAGTAAAAATATATTTTACAACGACTCCTTTTTTGTAGATCTGGGTTCCCCTTGGATTTTAAAAAAAAACCATTTTTGTGTATACTCATGAAGTCAATGCTGACCCGTTCCCTACTTAGTACCCTCTGTATTAGCCTGTCAGACACAATGTCTGCTTTGCTCTGGTAGCAGATAAGAGTCAAAATCAATACAGCAGGGAGTTTAGCCAATAGTTCTGAAATATAACAGATTTTTAAAAAATTTTACTTTTATTGCAATCACGATGAAGTATACTATTTCAATAAAGTATGAGAATAAATATTCTATGATGATTGCATAAAATTACTAAAATGATTATTTTTTTATTATAAAGCTAACACTATGTTGATTGTGAAAATGAGGTCAATCAGAGAAAATATCAATTATTTCACAACCCCATCACCCAGGACAAATGTCTTATATTTTTGCATAAATTATTTCACATATATATTTTATTACACACATATATACATATACATACCGTAATATTTTTTTACTTTACTCCATGAATGCTTAATACTCGATTAACCTAATCATGATGGTTGGGCTTTATGAACAATTTATTATTTGTTATTCACTGTGCTAAAAAGGTACATGAATTATTAATATCTTATTATTTTAATAGTATTTATGTATGCATATAACTGTTTTCTGTATGTATGTATTTATGTGTATTTTGAGGATGAATGTGCATGTTGAAAATCCATACAGTATATAAAAATATGCAGTGAAAAGTAAGATTGTTGCTGGCTCCCATTCCTCAGTCATTGCTGTTGCATATTTATTTTTATCCTTCTAGACATGTTAGTTATTATCTTATTTAATCCTTACCACAGTGCTAGAAGGAGTATACTATTATTATTACTACCATTTCATAGTAAGGGAACTGGCAGTTGTAAAGATTTTAGTTACTTCATTGCCCAGAGATTTTCAGCCAGTTAAATGATGGAGCTGAGCTTCGAACTCACTTTTTCTTAGTGCAGAGTCCATGGCCTTAGCTATTAAATACCCTGCCTTTCTACCTTGTTTGCTCTCAAGGAGTATCTAGTGATGGCTATTCAGGAGAATTCTTCGGTAGTTACTGAACAAAAATTTGTGTAGCTTTACCATCTCCCCTCCATCTGTCTTGCCCTGTGGCCACTAGTTGATGAAGATCTGGCTGGCAGAGCCTGATTCACAAGAACTGTATGGATGACCCAGGAAATGTATGGATTAGTGATGGATGGAGGCCCACTCCTCAATAACCTATTATTCATGTACTCTTGTTTTGTTATCTGGTTTCAGAATTTGTGAACCCACAAAAACATTAATTTCATTTGTTTCTACAAATAATCTCATGTTGGTGATATTTAAGTCTCCTCAGATACAGAGGCTATCAGGAATCCGGGCATATTTCGAGGTCATTCCAGAACAAAGTAAGTCATTCCCAACTGAAAAAAAGTCATCCTTATAAATATTTATTATGATACTACTATCTGATCTCTCCTGAGGCTGTGTTATAACACTAGTTGTGTAAGGCAGGGCCCTGACTCAGGGTCCAGTCAGAAGGCAGTGACCATGTTAGTTATTCTAACAGAACAAATTTAACCCTCTGTTGGGCATAACTCATCTCACAGATTCATTGCACACAAATTTTCAAATATCTAACAGTTAACTTAAGTATCGTGACTCATGGCTTCCATATCTTCCCCCTCTACCATAACCTATCGCCAGTCGTGTTTGTGGCTTAGTACAGTAAAGACATATTTCATAGCAGCACCTTTAATCTCACAGATTTGTTGCCAAAACTAATCTCGAATGTTGGAACTGTTTCATAAATAAGGAAATATTGGACATCATCATTCAGCATACAAATGAGTATATTATAAAAATTCAATCACAATACTCTCGTGAGAGAGATGCAAAATGTACAGACCATGTTGAAATGAAAGCATTTATAAGGCTGCTATATCTGGCAGGTGTACTGCACAGTAATAGGCAAAGCTTATACTTAATTTATGTGATAAACATATATTGTTTTTACTTTGTGGAAAATTAAAATTTCATTCTGAATAAAATAATAAGCATGCTTACACATTATTTTCATTCATTTTCAATTTAAATAAATAAATGTCATACACGCATCTAGGAGATGCATTGCACCCGAACTCGTAGCTTTTTTGCATTGCACCCGATGGAGGGTTAATGTAAAGAACTGTTTACTCAGTATAAAGGTGTTAACTAGGTAACTGAAAGGGCAAAAAGAAAACTGGAAGGCATAATAGGTCTAACACATGTAGGAAGCAAGTGCCACCTGTAGGTCTGGGGGGAAAAGGAAAGCGGTCAGAGTGATTACAGTTTAGGAGAAGGGGTCTGTGGGATGAAACAGGCCTCTGAGGAGGGGTTATTGCTCAGCTGGTGCTGATTTCTCTGAGTTGAAAGGCAGGTGTTCATGAACCTGGGACCCAGACCTTTGAGGAGGGAATGCCAGAAACAGCTGGTATCTTTGAAGGAAATGCAATAAAACGGAAGCTGTAAAAACTGCTAACAGGATTCAATTCTGCTACAGGAAGGAAGTGTATTTGCAGGATGAAGAAGCGTTGCTGGGGTGACATTCCCAGGAATTCTTCCTCCTCCAGCTTTCTAGTTTACCTTTAGCACCCTCTATTGGCAGAGCCTATCAGGAAGCCAGGTGGTAAAGGGAGGAAGTGGTTTGCAGAGTCCCAGCCCCAGCATTGCAGAACAAAGAAGGCTTGGTTTGGAGCTGTGAGACAACAGCTCAGTAACTAACATACTAAACTGTCTTTCATGACTTCTCATGTATAGGAATGCATGTGAATGCCATTCTAGAAAGTGCCTGTGAAGCAAAACATGGAGGATTTAATGGGTTTTTCTAGGTAACAGTGAGCAAAATGACCTCCCCCACCACCACCACCACCACCGATTCTTCTCTTTTTGACTTGGGTTGATGAAGTAAAACAAAACAAAAAGAGCCTTCAATAAAAACTCTGATTTCTTTGTAGTATTTGTTGCAACTGACCGGATCTTGTAGGTCATGCCTTGGTAACTTCTCCATAAGCATTAGTAAAGCCAAAGGGATCAGCATGGGAGATGGGGATGAGGAGAGAAGAGGATTTGGCTTAAACAGATGATAGCTATAGTTTCATCTACATTTTAGGGCAGTGGCTTATTTTGATGATTTTCTGCTTCAAATTATTACAGAACCAAATGTAAAATGGATTTATTGAACAAAATTGAACTGGATGTTTGAGATATTGTTGGGTTGAAAATTATCTCTAATTCCAAAGGTTAAAAAATGTGATTATCTCAGAAATATTGTAGTGAACTTTGTCTATTCAATTGAGTGTCTATTATATGCCAAGAATGATTCTAGGTGTTAGGGAAATAGCATTAAACTAAATAGACATAAATCAGTACTTTTAGGGAACTCACATTCTAGCAGAAGGATGACCATATCAGTAAGAATAGACATTTAGATTGTCTTATTTAAACAGAACAACATGTTATGTAAACTGGGTATATTTCTTCAACAACAAATATACACTCATTTGAACAAAATAAGCACAGAAGCTTTAAATATATATTTAAACTATGTTTTTAAAGAAAATAAAGCATCCTATAGATCTGTGAACAAAATATATAATTTGAAAACAAATATAAAATTTGAACAAGTAGTTTAGCTATATATCTGAAGAAGACTATTTCTTTGTTTTAAATTTAGCTTAAATTTCAAAAAATATATATGCTTGTTGATCGAGAAAGTGTACATTTTTAAAGAAATATATGCATTGTGTTTCCTATAATCTCACACTACAAATCATTGTGTTACTGGATATTTTTTTTTTCAGAGTGTGAAAATGCAGTTTTGGTCAAAGAAATCACTGGCTTTGAAGGGGAAATTTCAAGTCCATATTACCCAAGCTACTATCCTCCAAAATGCAAGTGTACCTGGAAATTTCAGGTAGCCTAGCTTTTCCTATATCTTAGGAAATTTCAGGTAGTTTAGTTTTACCACTATCTTATCCTATTTTTAGCAGCAATTTATTTTTGAATTAAAATACCTTTATTTTTAAATTTAATTAGTTAATTTTATAATATTTAAACCTTATTAAAACATATTATCAAAACATGGAAGTTTCTTATTATTTCAGGCCTCTGCCCACAAATTAACGGCTCTTTGCAGGCTGGGGCTAATTTTTCCAATTTATTATTTGTTTGTTTGTATTAAAAAATACAAAGACATTTTTACAGGATCAAACAATTTATTATTTTATTATGACAGCTTATTTATTATTTTTAATTACTTCATCATCAGTATTATAAAAGGAATAATAAAGAAATAATGAACTGGATCAGGCAATATATATTTCATTGTATAAGCAAACCAGGATGCAAATTTATGTGAAGTATATACATTTCCTTCTGGTGTTAGACAGGGTGTTTCAGCTTTTATTTTTTTTTACATCTTAGTCTGTAAACTATTTTTCTTTCTCCAACTGTAGTATTATGTGGCGGGAGATAGAGCAAGATGTCACCTTGACTCTTTCAGTACATATATCATTGTGTGGCGTAATAGTTAGATGTAAGCGGCCAGCAGTATATAGTTGGTATTCTTTCAGCATTTTATTATTGAATGCCTACTACATGTCAGGCAATATTCTAGACACTGCGATCCATAAGATCAGACACACACACAAAAGTTCTCCTCTCACGGAGCTTGCCATATAGTAGGGGGAGACATGCAACAAACAAACAAGTGAAACATCTATCGTATGTTACATAGTGGTACAGTGCTATGGAGAACACTAAAGCAGGGAAGGGGGCTGTGGCTGAGTGACTAGTGGGGCTTACAAAAGGAAGGAAGTCAGGGATTTGTTATCTTAAATAGGATGGTCAGGGAAAGCCTCCCTGACAAGGGGACATTTGCACAGAAACCTGAAAGACAGGAGGGAACTCACCTTTGCATAACTACAAAAGTGTTGCAGCCAAAGGGAACAGCTGAAGCAAAGGCCCTGAGGCAGGCATATGCTTGTTGCACATATGATTTGTGCAAGTAAGTTAACCATTTTTAATGATTTTATTATACCTAAATCTGTACTAGATGTCTTGATCACATGCATCCTTAATTTATTTTTTTATCATCACAAACATTTACAAAACAATTAAAACATAAAGGTACTGGACTCCTGCTCACTGCCAGGTTCTTAAGGCCTCAGGGTAGCAGAATCTCAAAGCTTCAGATGACTATCAAGTCTGAAGTTTGGGGAGAAGGAAAGGGGAAGAGAAGATAAAAGGAGGGGCCAGGGAAGGAAGAGAAAGACAAATACAGAGAAAGACCAACACCTTATGACCTCACTTATATGTGGAATCTAAACTAACTAACTAACTAAATAAATAAATAAATAAGCTCATAGATACAGAGAAAAGATTGGTGGTGGCTAGAAGTAGGGGTTGGGCAAAATGGGTGAAGGTGATCAAAATATACAAACTTCCAGTTATAAAATAAATAAATCATAGGGATATAATGTACAACATGGTGACTATAGTTTAAATAGAGTTAATATTATTAACTATATTTAATTATACTGTATTGTATTGAAAAATTGCTAAGAGTAGATCTTAAAAGTTCTCATCACAATAAAACTATTTTAACTGCACAGCAAGGAATGTTAACTAAACTTACTGTAGTCAGCATTTTGCAATATATATAAATATCAAATCATTATGTTATAATTCGTTTATGGCAATGACATCTTGATAACAAAAAAAGAAAGACAGTAGGATTGAATCACAAAATGTTGCTGCAAACTTAACTGTACAGTATGTTGTTTTTAAAAGACAAAATGAATAAAAAAAGTGATTTAATAAAGCGGAAGAGAAATGGATGGGCAATATTATTCTAGGCAAATGTAAACAAAAAGAAAGCAGGGATCACAAACTTAATGCCAGGCAATGTTGAAATCAGGGCCACAATTTCAGCGAGAAAAGGAAGATGTAATCATGACAATTATTTATGCATCAAAGGATATAGCATTAGTACTTATAAATCAAATCCTATAGAACATATGAAAAGAAATGGACAAGCTTAAAGAAGAGATTTTAATTTTTTTCTCTTGGTTCATGACAGAGGTAGTGGGAGACAATAAATAAGGTTAAGAAGGGTATTAAGCCATACAAATAATGAGGACTACACACACACACACACACACACACACACACACACACACACACACACAGAAATTATCCTGGTTTTAAATGACTGTGGAGAATTCATAAGTTTGATCACAATAAAATCCTTAATAAATTAAAAATTAAAAACAGTATAAGCAATAAATAATCTTGTATCTAATTAAAATAAAATTAGAAAACTTGAAAATGGGTAAACTGAAATTCTACTCCCTGTGAATATAAAAACTCTCAAATAATTCCTGGGTCAAAATGAAAATTAAAACCAAAATTGTGACACATCAGACATAATGTATGTGCATGTCATACAATGCCATAAAAAAGTCAGTTGTATAGTGTGTGTGTGTGTGTGTGTGTGTGTGTGTGTGTGAGCGCGTGTGCACTTATTGTACATGTTCTATCCTTCTCTTGCTTTATCTCTTCTGAGAAGACCTAGAGGTGACTCAGTAATTGCCTTCAGGAGTAACCAGGCTTCATGTGAAAAGGACGTTGATTCATTTCTCCTGTATCTAAAAACCCTGAATAGTGCTTTAAATAAACAATGTCATCATTATCTTCTAAGGAGGAAAATGTGGACACTCATTAGCAAGTGGGTGTTTTCAAAGTTAAGTTCATTTAATAAGAGGAAACTGAAACCTAGAGATGACCTAATGTGTCCTTTGTCACCTAGCTCACTCAAACCAGGACCTAATAGCAGTTCCCGGAGCACTGGGCTGTCCACGTTCCTCCCTATCATGCTGTCCTTGTCATCCCAGTTTGCTCAGGGGATGTGGTCTACCCCACTAAAGGCCACAGGCACAGAAAATGAAATGCCCTTACAATTGCAAACCAAGGGAATGAGTTCTGAGTAAGGGAATCTTAGCCTGAAACATGCCTTTCAATTGAGTCTTTTTTTTTTTTTCTCCTAACTTATGTTTGTTTTTTACAGACTCCCCTATCAACTCTTGGCATAGCACTGAAATTCCATAACTATTCAATAAGCAAGAAGAGTGTGAAAGGCTGTGACCATGGATGGTGGGAAATTAATGAGCACATGTAAGTGGTTTCCATATGTAAGAAATCTGATGAAAGGCCTTGCTCAGAGGTTCAAAGCCTTGCTTGGATTTCTTATCCCAAGAAGAGTTTACTATTTACAGATAGGGGAAACTGAGGTATATAGGAGTTAAATAACTTGCTCAATTTCACTTAACTCATAAGTGATGAAGCCAGGATTCAAATCGGGCCTATGGTCCTCAAGTCCTTGCTCTATGCTCCCGGGCTGTAGATGTGCACACTACATTTTACAAAAATAGTTAGGCACATAAAGTCTTTCAAACCATGGAGCCATGGAGCAAAATAGTAAATAGGAGTCCTGGTGGTAGAAAAGTTAGAAACCATTAGCTAATTCTGTGTAGCAGGAAAGGCCCCAATCGCTGGTTGTATCCTGAGGCTGGGACATGGGTTGAGGCTGACCAGATAGAGGCTGAGAGAAATTTAGGTGCCTGGGTTTCCTAAACAAACTTAGTAGGCCCTCACTTTTACTGGTAACTTGTCCTTTAATTGTCATTATTTTTTGTTTGCTTCTAAAGTTATAATAGGTCTTGTATTTAAAAATATAAGATTCCCTGTCTTGGCAGCAGAATAGCCTCTCAGTTTACTTTGAGATAAGAATCCTTGTGAAGGTAGCCCAAGGGATTTGCCTGCTAATTCTTTGTTTATTATTATTCCATGAATGAAAACCTTTCCTTTCTAAAGGATTTTCCTGAAAAACCGCCTTTCATTTCGTTTAGACTCTTAGATTACTTGCTAAATAGTCATTGATCCTGTCTTCATTGGAATAGATTCTATCTGATTTAACGGCATTCTTGGATCCATTATTAAGATGTGGCTTGTATTCCTTTGGGGAGTATTATAGAATCAAGGATCTATTATGTCAGAAGCGGAAGACCTGGGTTCAAATTCCAGCCCTGTAATTTAGTAGCTACATTAACTAGGACACGTTATTTAACCTCTTTGATCTTCAGTCTGTAAAATGAGGTAATAATTCCTAGTTAATAAGGTGGGTTTTCTTTAAAAAAAAACAAAAAAACATTCAATGGAATAATGCATATTACACACCAAGAAAGATTGACTATTATTATAATTAATAAGATTGCTTTAGAAACGACATTGGGTAGATAAATACTATAGACTGTGCCCCAAAATTTTAAGGATAGTGCATTTTGGTATTTTAATTAGAGGTCTATAAAATAAATATTTTGTACAGTTGTATGCCTAAGATAGAGCTGTGCTTTGGAAATGAGATATTCCCTACCCCCCACCCAATGCAATACCTACCACTCATGATTTCCCTATGTGTGGAATTTGATGAAAGGCCTTTTCCAGAGATAAGGCTGGCCTAACTCAGAGGTGGTGCTGCCAGGGTATGAGCAGGGAATCTTCCAAATAAGACCAGGAAAGCTTTCTGCCCCAAATACTTGCCCTGAAGGGCCAGCTCTTCACTTTGGCTGGCTGAAATCTTATCAGATTCCTTTGAAGCTAGGCACTCTTGGGATTTAAAATGCCAGCCCTTCTCCTTATGGGTCTCAATTAGAGGAAGGGCTCTAATTGAACTAATTTCTGACACTTTGCTGAGAAGTTAGCCTAAGGGTGTTGGGTTTGTAATGCGGAAGGAGGAAAAAGTAATTCTGACACCAGAAAGCCCAGTTATGTTGAGTTGAGAGAACATGGGGATAGGGCTTGTAGGCCCAGGGCAGCTTGAAGGTAGTATATGAACCCTGAAAAAAAATGGAGGGCCTTCCTACAAAGCTGTAGCAGAGCAAAGTCTCTGAGGGGAAGGCTGCTGGTGTGCTAAAAAGTGCTGGGTTTCAGTACCAGGCAGAGTTGTGTCCAAATCCTGCTTCTACTTACTTGCTATTTGAACTTGAACAAACTACTTCACCTCTTCACATCTCAGTTTTCTTACCTGTCACATGTCTGTACATGTAAACTAATTCTTACTGCGTTTCTCCAGTCTTTCACTTTTTAAAAAACTTTTCTTCCATTAGCCACCAATATGCCCCATTACATAGTGTTCCCCTCTAAACTCCAGCCCAAGCATGGATTCAAAGATCCCTTTCCTCCTGACTTCTCCTTAACATTAGCGTGAAGCTCATCTTTGCAAGAAAACACTAGTAAGTGTTAATGGAGAACATGAAGAAAATCACTATGACGCACAGACAACAATCATCATGTTTTCAGAATACATTTTATATTTCAATCCCAAGATGACCAGTTAGAGTCAGCTCTCCTCAAAAGCTTGACGTGGTTTTCATGTGCCTCTCAGACAACTTGGCCAGGTGGCTACCTGCAGGTGTTATCTCTTCCTTATGTCCCAGGAGCGGTCCATTATCCTGTCAGGTCCTGAACTTCAGCCAATTGCAAAAGATTCCTCCTGAAATATACATGGACGCTTTCCTCTTTCGAACCTTGAAATCATAGGTTACCTCTATGCTCCTCCCACTGAATGACAGTGTCTGATCCATGGAACAGGCACTGTTCCCAAGTGCTTTGGGGGCCTGGAGTGATTGACATTCATAGATTCCAGTGGAGGATGTTCCTCCTCAAGCCTTGTGTCTCCTGTTTCCTTTTGAGACCTTGCAAGTTTCACCCTGGGAAGAGCCTTGCCTACAAAGGGCAGAGAGAGGCTTAACTTACCATGGGCCCCCTGTGTAATAAGACTTGGTGTTCCACTAACCACAGTGCTCATATAAAAAAATTACCAACAGGAGGGCCAGTTTTCTTACTTGAGAAAAACTGAGTAAGAAAAATTGAGATAGGGAAATATTGTGGAAGGACATTACTACTTTGAAATGTTGCCAAGGACAAGCCCTGAAGTGTGCATCAGGTGTCAATTTAGTTTAAAATAATATTGTCCTTTGCTTCAAGAGTTGTTTAGATTCTTTGTATATTTTCATCCTGAGCTCATGGATTCCACTCTGGTCTATAGATAGATTTGTGGGCCAAAGCAGGCAATTCTTGTGCTACAGTTATTTACACCAAATAAAGCGAGTTGACTGGGAAAATTAAACCCATATATCTTCGGATTACAAGCGTTGGTGAGGAAAGCAACGGGTAACAGATAGTCGATGGTACTGCTCTGGTTTTACCTAGCAGAGGAGACAAATCCAGGGGGCAGAAGTTACTCCATCACAGACACTTAGCATGGAATGGATAACTACTGGTAACTCTACCATAAGTTTCTCACGTGTGAAGCCTAACTCACCAAAGCATTAGTGAATTCATTGTTAATAGGGATGCAGTGGACAGACTTTCAGGCCGTGTATCCTTCGACTCTTCTCTCCTCAGGTACTGTGGCTCCTACATGGATCACCAGACAATATTTCGAGTGCCTAGCCCCCTTGTTCACCTTCAGCTTCAGTGCAGTTCAAGGCTTTCGGACAAGCCACTTTTGGTGGAATATGGCAGTTACAACATCAGTCAACGTAAGCCTGGGATTAGCACCATAGAAAGCCTTAATAAATTGGTAAAGGGAGGCTAATGCTTTGTGACTCTAATCTTGGGGAATTCAGAGGAATGAAAACTGCTTTATTGCTGCTGGTTTCTGTTACATTTTTATAATAAATATATATAATAGAAACTAAATATATGATAAACAATATATAAAATCATGTACTTATTACTGCTATAGTTTAAATTATAGAAAAAATAATATAATTTTAGTGATTGATTTATAATTGAACAATAATATTTCACATTATTCCTAAAACTACAGGAGAAGCCCATTTCTTGATTGTTGTTCTTTTTTGCTAGCCATAATTCTTTGTAAATATGATGTTTACACCGACCTTGGGCAGATCAGAGGCCGATTGTTGTGACTCACTTTGGCCTGTGCCGTATAGGGAGAGTAGGTTGGTTAGGGCGTGCTCAACCATCAGCCCTCAGAATGTGAAATATCACACTGACAACTGCTAGAACAATGGCCAGGAAGTGGTTAGTAGAAAAACCAATGCCAGAGGGCAGTCATTAGAGCTGGAGGGAGTAGATACTGACTTGTGTGGGCAATTCTTGACCTATTTTAAAAGGGGAAAAGTCAGGGTTAACCACTTAGGAATCCATGAGGGTAAGACTTCAGAGAACGCTCCTTTAGACCAAGTCTTTCTTTGCTAATCCCCAATATACCTGCTTCTGGATTTAGAATATTTTACTTCTGAATATGAGAATATTAGAATTTCCTGCAAGGACACAGGTACATAGTAAGCCATTTTATTTTCAATTGTTTTTGTCAAACCATGAATATTTTCCAGGAACTCATACCTGCCTCTGTGTGCCATTGAGATAGTGGTGATCTGACCATGTACTCTCACCCACTCCTTTGCACAAGGGGAGTGTCTTAGTCCATTCAGGCTTCTGTAATCAAAATGCCACAGGCTGAGGAGCTTATAAAGAACAGAAATTAATTTCTGACAGTTCTTGAGTCTGAAAATCCAAGATAAGGGTGCCGGTATGATCAGGTGAGGGCCCTCCTCTGCATTGAAGACTTCTTATATCTTCTCATGGAGGAAGGGGCTAGACAGATCTGTGGTGCCTCCTTTATAAGACCACTAATCCCATTCGTGAAGGCTTTGCCGTTGGGCATAAGGATTTCAACGTATGCATTTAGGGGGACACAAACATTCAGACCATAGCAGGGAGGAAGGATTTATTATTTCTATATGTTTGCGATAAGCCCAGCAATAATGATTCAAGACCAGGGAGGGAAACCTTTGACTCATAGCCTGGTTGAAGTGAAAAAACCGATGGATGGGGACGGAGGAGGAAGGAGTCTTGAGTTTTGAGGCCAGTCACTAAAATCTCGAGGTCCAACTTTCTAAGACCTGTGGCTCTATTTTGAAGCAGAGATTACTTGAAAATGTAATTAAAGGTACAGAGTCCTGAAATGAATACATCTGATCATAGAGGATTTAGAGACACCAGAGTCCATTTATAATTCCCTGAGGGGTGTAGAGGCTGCACCAAGAATGCTAGACTCTCTAAGGGATCTGGCAGCTTTTGCTTTCTTTGAGTCTGTGATAAAGCCAGGGAGCTGAGTCAAGGATGGAGGTAGTAGAAGTTTGACTATACATGTGACCTGGTTGCAGTGATGACTCATAGTTTCTGGTAAATTAATTTGCTTTCTTTACTCTCCTAAATTTTGCTTTTTTGTTTTTTAAATTATCACCTATAACCTTGATGTGATGGAGAAATTATATAATTACAACTGCTACACTGTCAACTCCTTAATCACGTAATACTTCATATGTCTTTATTAATGTGGTCTGGTGACTTTTAGGGACCCATACAAGATTTCCAATTTTTTGTTGTCTGTAGCCTGTCCTGTTGGATCTTTTAGATGCTCCTCCGGTCTGTGTGTCCCTCAGGCTCAGCGGTGTGATGGCGTAAATGACTGCTTTGATGAAAGTGATGAACTTTTCTGTGGTGGGTAATCAAGCTTTTACTATGACTTTGTTTATTGAATAAATAATTTCTCAGAGCCCTTGTTGCTGCTGGTGCACATCCTGGGTCTTTGTACCTATTATCTATTGCTGCAAAACAAACTAGACCCCAAACTCAGTGGCTTACAACAATCATTTATTCTGGATTATGCACCCATGGGTTGTCTGGGATGTGACTGATCTAGGCTGGTCTCATTGGGTGGCTCTGTTTCAAGCAACAGGTCCTCCTGAGTTTGTTTCTTCCCAGGTTGGGGTCAGGTCTACTCTTTGTGGCTATTTTCCCCATGGACCTAGTGGGCTAGCCAGGGAAGTAATATTGTTATAATTGATTGATCTTTATTCTTTATATAAATAAATGACCTTTGAAAAACATAGACAAAATACGTCATGACTTTTTTGATGACCCAATAGTTTGCATTGACATCACATTGGGAATGGCTAAAAGCTGGGGTATTGAATATTTATTTCTCTTTGGAACAGAGAATTTCTGTTGGTTTTTCATTACTATTTACACATTGTTCCTGAATCTCTCTCCAGTTTCAGGGAACAATATGGGGAGGCCAGTTCACTGGACCATATGACACCACTGGTAACACTTTCTCCTAAACATCCAGAGTGTAGTTCAAATGATTGTGATGGTGAAGCTATTTAATCTCTTTCATGTTTTTGGATATAAATGTACAGTTAATAAAACTAACTATATAAAAATGATATTCATGAAAAATAACCTTTGACTCTATACCCTCTTTTTTTAAATTGACAAAATAAAACCCTTATAACTTATGGTTCATTGACCTTTTGAATCTATAGGGTCTTCTATTTCTTAAGAAAATAAATACTGACCATTATATGGTAATTAAGGTTGTCTTTGGCTTTCACATTTTTATTATTACCTGCTATGATGCTCCAAACAAAAATGATTATTGTTACTTTATAATAAAGACAGTTTTTTGGCAAGCATTATTTCTCATCATGCCATGTTGAGGGCTATTCTCTAGGAGCTAGCTAAGCACTCTTAGAGACTTAATGAACTATTTTAGCACAGCAATGTCCTTTCCCTGCCCCTCACAAGAGCTACTTCTGACAAAATGGGAGCAGATAACAAAACAAGAAATGTCTAAGGAATCATACCTACTAAGAGTGCTTGCTAATATACTGTGCCTGTCACTGGTATAAAGGCCATTTTCAAAAAACACTGTGAAAAAACTGTGATAAGTTTACACTGGTGCTTCTCAATTCAGGAAATGAATCTCTCAGGATAAAATAATTTTTTTTTTTAAGATTTTATTGGGGAACTGGGGAAAGGGAACAGTGTTGGGGAATTGGGGAAGGAGAACAGCCAAGTTGTTGTCCTTCGATTTTAGTTGTGAAGGGTGCAGATAGCTCAGCTTCAAGTCCAGTTGCCATCTGGCCACCCGTCGGCAGCTCAGGCAGCTCAGCTCAAGGTGTCGTGTTCAACCTTAGTTGTGGGTGGGCATAGCCCACCATCCCATGTGGGAGTTGAACTGGCAACCTTGTTGCTAAGAGCACATGCTCTAACCACTGAGCCATCTGGCTACCCAGGATAAAATAATTTTCAAGGGTGTTTTCCTTACAATCAGACTACAAGTCTGTTGTCCCCTAAGATTTCACACTTATTAATTCATTCAACAAACAGCTACTATTCAGTAAATAGCTACTGTCAGGGGCTTGAGGTTCAGAGAAAAATAAGACAAAATTTCCCATCTCAGGATACTTCTACTTTGTTTAGGAAGGCAGATGAGTTCAATTTAGATAACAGCTTATGATTTTTATTTTCTTGAAAATAAAATCTTATGATGCATTTAATTATAATTAAACAAACCCCCAGAGTTTACCACATATATACAAAAGCAAAAATTGGATCTGACTAAATCAAAGTGCTAGGAATGACACCAAAGTTTATACATTTGCTTTTCTCCATGTGTGTGCTGGTTTTGAGGAAAACACACTTTTTAAAACATTTCATTTAAGTCATCTTAACCCTTTCAACCTTTAGAGGGGTGCTACTGGTTGTCAGAGAGTCCAGCTGGTGTGTCAGATAGATTTCTGTCTATTCTCATTCTAGTGACTCTTAAACCTGCCTGCAATGCCAGCTCCTTCAAGCAGCACAGCCCTCTGATCTGTGATGGCTTCCGGGACTGTGAGGATGGCCAGGACGAGCAGAACTGCACTCAAAGTGAGGGCAAGTCCTCTGCACTCTGCTGTGCTTCCTATAAAATACTTTTAAATCAGAATCAAAATACTGCTGTTGGGTCAGGATAATCAACTTGTCTCATTTTTCCAAGGATTTCCCCAGTTTCATCATTAAAAATCCCATGTCCTGAGAATTCTCTCTATCTTAAACAAAATGGGACAGTTGGTCACTCTGAGGTGGAGTGTGTGTGTGTGTGTGTGTGTGTGTGTGTGTGTGTGTGTGAGAGAGAGAGAGAGAGAGAGAGAGAGAGAGAGAGAAAGAGAGAGAGAGAGAGGGGCAGGGAGAGAGAGAGAGGATACTGGAAGATTTTCATTACTTATTTGTTTTTAATGCTGCTCAAGACTAAAGGACACTGATGACCTGATAGCAAGGGTGGGAGAGGAACTCGCTATAATAGATACTGTGATAGGACATGGTTTTTTTCTAACCCCTGCAGAAACACACACCGCCAGTGTTGTAAAGAAATGTGTTGTAATTCACAAAGTCTGTCCATTTTTTCCTCCCTAATGGTGTAAAAGGACTGAGTACGGTGATGATGTTTGCTCAAAAACTTTCTTGGAGAACAAATCAAGGTAATAACAGAGAGGCCCTGGCCTAAAGCCACTGATATGACCACCTGATTTCCACCTCACCTATAGTAGAAGAAAGAAGAGGCCCTTGGATTGATTCTTGGCAGGTGTGCCAGCCTGCCTGCCTTCCAGAGGCGCTGCTGAGGTGGAGGGACAGGTCACTACGGGGTTGCTTCACTTTGGTCTAAGCCACCCTTTGTAGAGTTCAGTGTCATCTACTTAAGTCTATTTTGGGCTAGGAAAAACTCTTTCTTCTTTTGTTCATTCTCAGGCATTCCATGCAACAATGAAACTTTTAAGTGTGGCAATGATATTTGCTTTAGGAAACAAAATGCAAAATGTGATGGGACTGTGGACTGTCCAGATGGAAGCGATGAAGAAGGCTGCAGTGAGTAGCAATTTGTTTCTCCTGATTTCCTTCTGTTTCCTCTTCAGTCCACATGTTTTTCATTTTCATTCCCTTCTTAGTGTAATCCTCCGGGCAGAGGTTGCCTTAGGCCCAGGGAAGAGTATTTGTGAATTAAATCTGAAATCGTTTCTCAGAATTAAAAATGCTGGTGCACATTCCATCTTCTTTCTTGTTAACAAGCATTAATGTACGAGATATTTATAATGAGAACTTCACTTTCTAATAACTAATCAAAAAATAAATTCTTAAGTTAAAAAAAATACCCATGAGAAAAGAAATACATACTGGCATGCAGTGGATGACTTTGTTAATTTTTCCTTACGTTAGATCAATATCTAGTGCTAGTTCCTGCTTTAGCTATGGTTTGAGAACTGTAACCTGCCATATGTTATTGTCACTTGTGTGGCTTCTAATCAGCTACATGGCAACATGTTAACTCTATATCCTTATCAATACTATTTACACTTGAAAAGAATTGCTCTGATAACTAGTTTTTCTTAATAGGTTTTCATTTGTCTTGGACTTACAAATTCTCTCCCAATGCTTTTCTCAAATCAGCACTTCAAAGACACTCAATTCTGTTGCATTTGGAACTAATCTTTTCCTTTCTATCTAACCACCTAAACCCCACAGCTTCGTATCAATGCTATTACTGACAGGTCCCCACTTCCCCTCACACTATTGTACAGAGACTGTGTCAAAGCCTGCTTTCAGGAAGGACGGTGTGGTTTGTTGTTTCTGGTATTGCCTGTTCTGTAGAAAAGCATATTTCAAATCACTTACCTGGCTAACCGGTTACCAGCCCAGCACTAAGCCCGACTTAATTTAACTTTTCTTCCAAGTCTGCCTTTAAATCACGTGACCCTTCCTCCCCTAAAGGCTGCAGAAGGAGTTCCTCCACCCCCCACCGCATCATTGGGGGCACTGACACTCAGGAAGGGGGTTGGCCATGGCAAGTCAGCCTCCACTTCATTGGATCTGCCTACTGTGGAGCCTCGGTCATCTCCAGGGAGTGGCTTATCTCTGCGGCCCACTGTTTCCATGGAAACAGGTAGGGCATTTCAATCCTTATTCTAAAGTGGCACACTCTGACCACAGACCATACACCTGCCTTCGA